GGGATCTCTGTGACGTAGCAAACCCTCCTTCCCCGGTAATGGCTAGCCCTGAAGTTCCCGTCATACCTGCCTTTCCCCATAGTGACCTTAATGCTCCAGCCCACCCCCATACCCATAGACCCCATTTCCCCTCTCACAATCTCCGCTCCTTCCAGCAGGCAATTTATATCAGTCATTCTAGGACGGGAGGTAGGCCTGGGCCCCCTACCACTTCTGCAATAGCACTCAGTGGAGGAGGCACCAGGCTGTATTCCCAATCCTCTCATACATACCCAACCACTCATCCATACGATCTCCACGTAAGTCAGTTAAAACACAGAAAATACAACAATAATGAGATTAAAAAGTGGGTACAGACATCACACAGGCACACCATTCACACTTCATACATAAAATTTGCAGAGCACTGCGCTAGTGCGGTTTAAAACAAATGATGGTATGGAAGGAGGAGGGAGAGCTGCTCTGCTCCTCTCCCTTCCTCTAAGTCCCAGAAAGGCACCCAAGGCCAAAGGTCCAAAAGTCGGTATTGTGCTAGGTGGTTGTAGATGGAGCGGGGCAAGGCATAAACGCCAGATGTTAACGAGCAGCAACTTCGCAGTCTCACACCCTCCAGATCAAAATGTTATTAAATGTTAGGTTGTAAGCATGATAGGTTGTAATAACCTAATCTCATCTGCAAGCCTCCCTTGAGCATACCATGAATTGCTTTGGCGAGATAGACAGCACAGAAGTTTAATAAATAATTATAAATAAATGAATGCTACTTGAAAATCGAACATTTTTAGATGATTTTGTCATGGAAATTTTGAATTTTGATTTGTTCTATTTGGTTTCCAATTCTTTTAATATATACTACCATAGGAAACCATGAACTGTGGTTAGGGATCTACATGACATATAGGTAATATGACATAGGCACTATAAATCACTATAAATTGCTTAGCATGTGGAAAAATTTCTCTGTGTTAATTAGATTAAAATCTGTTTTTCAGAGATGCTTTTAATAATTATTGCTTTCACAAAAATGTTCTGCCTACAGTGGATTTTTTAAATAAATCTTTAAAAATCACCTACTATTTCCTCTGAGTTACTTACAGCTTACCATACACGTCATCACTACCATAAAGTTAATTAGTCAAAGAAAACTGTTCAAGAACAGTTTGATCACATATTCTGATATTGAAGAAATAACATTTCAGCCTTATTCTGACTTTCCTGCATCATCTCAAAATTAGACTATTTTAAGTATGTAAAAAATGTATTTAGGCAGCAGTTGATAATTCAGAAGTGGGCTTTAGAGACCGTACTTCGAGTAAACTAAACTTCAAATGATTTTTTTGCAGAAATATTCCCACTCACTTCTGTTATGTGCCATGAAGCAAGACTTCTGCCTGAGAAAGCAAAATATGTGCTACCCCGATTGAAATGCTATTGTGAGCTACAAAGGTAAAGCACAATAACTTCCCCCTAGAACACGGGTGCCAAACTTGCCGCTCCACGTTGCTGGCACATGACCTTTCACATTTTTCCCATTCGTGGAGCTGGGGTGGGTGTGGCCTGTGTGTGACACCTCCGGCCCACAGGCCGCCAGTTTGACACCCCTAGAATGTTCCTGGCTTCTTCGATCTTGTATATTAATTATTTTAGACTTTTATCCCATGTTTATTATTGTATAAGTAACTCAAGACAGTGAATATACATAATACTCCTTCCCCTTCCTATTTCCCCCACAACTATCATCCTGTGAAGTGGGTTGGGCTGAGTATGACTGGCCTAAAGTCACCCAGCTGGCTTGCATGCCTAAAATGGAACTAGAATTCAGTCTCCTAACAAGGCCAGCACCTTGACCACACTACACCAACTTGCACAAATTGTTCTTTTGACTCTTATAATAGGGCAGAGAAGGGTGATATAACATTGCACATGTCACAAATAGATTTTGATATTTCTCCTGAAATGCTTTATAGCTGTGTTAACTCAAATAATCACTACTATGCAATTTGTATTTTGGCCAGAACCTCTATTGTTTGTTGTTCTTGTTCTGATTCAAGGAAGGTAGAATGAAAGATATTCTAGACTTGTCTCCACTGTAGCCAAGAGTTCAGCATCAGTTCTCCTTACCTAAGGATCCCAATATCACCCTGCAACCTATCCTTCCATTACTGGTTTCTTTCCTTCTCCCTGTCTCATCTCCACTGTTAATTCCACATTGATTATTAGCCTTATTCATCCTCCATTTCTTATGTTTTCCTGGCTTTGCATTTCCTACTGCATCAACTATATGGCTTTTGCTGGTGGTTACTGAATGAAGCTGATGAACATGTAAAAACTGACAGTAGTCACCCTTTGTAGAATACTTACTGCAATTTTCATTGCCACATCCCACAAGTTAAGCTTCTGCCAGCTAGTTGTTTCCAATCCAG